CCCTGAAAACAAGACCAAGTTGCGACGAGGTCAGCCCACTTCTATCAATCGAAAGGAGACTGCGACCACAACATCTTGGTCTTCATATACTTATGCTTGGTTGAAAGGAAGGTGTTGAGCCGCTGTACAAAAAAAGCGACTTGTCATTTGAGCGATGGTTCTAGCCTCCCACAATCGTCCACTTAGTTTCAGTGTCATCAAGACAATCTTAGTCATGCTTTTCCTTGGGTCGTTAAACGCCTACATGCCCATCTCATCAATTCATCAAGACTTACTTACTGGTAATAAAGCCTTGATGACCAAGGGTTGGTGTTAAACACTCGACTGTAAAAGAATTAGCCAAATTTTTATGTATTCATCTATATCTAAATTTCCCCTCTGAGTGTACATATAAAAGTAAAAAAGAGACGATAAGTCTATTCGACTTAGTATTAACTTGAGACTTGTAAGAATGAGACCCAGCTGTGATGATGTTAGTCATATGACGAACCAAAGCTCAGCCCGTTTTCGCCCGAAACAAAGAATAATGTCTCGTGGACCGGGTTAACCTGAAAGTCGTATTAATGTTAAGATGATCGGCTGTCATCTTGTAGTGAGATTGACGATCGGTGATCATGCACTTTGATACGAAAGAAATATCTCCGTAACAATGTTCTCTGAGAAGACTCATCGAAACTTGCTTTTTCTTCGTATAAACAAGTAATTTTAGACAGCATGTTTAAATCTATTAACGAATAAGTCTGTTGATGATGGATGCAAAGAAGAGCTTTCGCGATTTCAAGCTGTAAAACAAAATAGAAACAACGCACTAATGGGGGCGAACAAGTTTTTACCCGAGCAAAAAATATTCAAAGGGGATAGGCCGGTACATACAATTGGCTAAGTAAATCAACATCAATTATATTCTCCTGCAAATGTTCAATCTCTGCTCAAAAGTAATCTGAATCAAATTTTTATCCAAAAATTCATAGGTACTGTCTTGTTAAGTCATCTGTGGCGGAGAGGCTTTAGAATTAAACAGACCACCTTCCACTTGCCTCGAATGTACTTCATAATAAAAGATAGTTCATTTTCCATAGACTACGTCTTATTGCGTAATAAGTTTAACATCTGGCACACTTAAATATCAGTAGTGCCAAATTCTGCAAATAGTCAACGATTGAATGCATCCAGCCTAGAAATCTGATTAACCTTTCTAAAGTAAAATCCATCTACAGGAGAGTTAATAAGCATAAAAATATTGGAAGCACCCGATTAAAGCCTACCTGGACTCTAGACCATAAGTCAATTTCACATTGCCTCTTAGTTAAGCAAAAGATAACTAACCTTGACGCTCACCATGTCACATCATTCATTAACGTAATCTAAATGTATTTTATTCCCAACAAATTGCCTGGTGCAAAAGAAAGATAATTTTATAAATCTGAAATAATTGTTGATAGGAAAAAGTATGTGTAAATGCACTAAAAGTTACGTACATGTATATATGTATAGATATATATAGATCAAGATAGAGGTACAGTCTGGTCGTTTGGAGCTCGTAGCAGGATCTATAAAATTCATTGAACATAACACTTTTGGCCGAAAATGCCCTGGAAGTTGAAAATATACAAGGATATGTCTGGAGACTGTGAAGAGGCATACATGAAAAGAGTAAGGTAAATGATAGGAGAGAGAAGGAATGGGCCTGTGCGCAAAAATACTCGGAGTCAAGATGGAGCAATTTTGCAGATGGAATAATGAGGCAGATAGAGCAATATAACACAGCAGTAAGGAAACGGGCTCGATTGCAGAGGGGATTGAATAAGATGCCTTAGACTTTAGCCTGAGCTTTATAAAACATCATTGAATTGTGGCACCAGAAGAATCAATGGCAAAAAATAAATAAATAAATCTACAACTAAATTAACGTGAAGAAGTAAGGAAAACAAATGAAATAGCGGCCGAGGGATTGGACTTACACACATACATATATATACGCATATAAATGTATATACATATATATACATATATAAATTGAGATAGACTTTCGAAAAAACTAGGATTTGATCAAAAATCTTTATCCTCCAAAAAGCTGTAATGAAAAACAAATTCCTCTTTTTTCCGTTGACTCATTGTCTTGAAATCATAATATATGTAAGTGCCGGATTCATATTCATCGGTTATCTGCTTAGGCTCTTCATGGCGCTGGAACCACATCATGTACTTGGTGTGGAAACGCCAGGACATTCTCTTAAGGGCTTTAGCAGCTAGATATTGGGCTTTGGTACCTTCAAAGTAGTAAAATATGAAGAACAGAGTCTGGGCATCAAGCCGAGCATAATATTCCTCAGTGTCAGTATTACGCATTGGTTCTCGAGGATAGTAGCTGGGCGCGTTTACCAAGTTTTTGCAAATAATCATCCGTGCCTTCTCTGTATCGCAAGGAAGGGGCAATCTACGATAGCCTGTTTCAAGAGCCTGTAGCTGGAGAAAGAGCTGAGTAAACAACAATGATCCACATAGAGGCGTCGAAAACAGATAGGAGAAAATGTATTGGAATTGGGGAAGAGTACAAAGTTGAGAATGGCGGAGCACAAGAGTAGTGCAGCAGTAATTGAAGGAGATTGATATATTTTTTTAAATGGGTGAGAGAAGTTGAGGTGAGAATGTGGGGATGGAAGAAAAATGGAAATAAGTAATGAAGAAATAAGCCAATAATTAAGGGAAAAATATATATCTTTCAGTAAATTCATGTAGCCATTCAACTAACAACAATGGTGAGAAATTAATCAACTGCAAAATAGTATATTACCTTACTGTCTTTAGCTAAATATGATCGAATAATAGTAAAATTGGCATTTCGTTTACATGGGGAAATAAGAAGCTAGCCATAAATACAAAACCGAATTATGTATACACCAAGAACTGATAATCAGCTATAGCGGACTAAGGAACATGGTGGGGATTACTTTTAATCAAAAATTGCTTAAGGCGCAACTATTTACAAATACTTTATAAATGTGATGAATACTTTATGCAACATACCACAAAATATTGGTCATGGTGTTCTTGGTACAAAAAGAAAGTTTAGGAATATTTTACTGAAACAAATGTCCATATGCAATCATGTTTTACTGTTATTCCAAGGGTTTTCGCGGTTTTGTAGAACAATAATTCAAACGGTACTTGGTACGAAATAGTTGGATTATTGTCAAGTTCTGGCTGGATGAAGAAGATTCAATGAAATTAATAAGCAAGATTGAAATGTCATTATAATAAGAGAAATGCACACCTATTAAAATTAGATGGCTATTTATCCTTGCATAATTACACGTCAGGTGAAATATAATAGATACATTGGGATAAATGCCCAACGGAAGTTTAGTCGGAATGATTAGATTTCACGAAGGGATGAGCAAATGAAGTGATACCTCATTCAGCAAAAATAAATTAGTAGGCTGGAAACGAAGATTCGCGTAAGCATAATAAAAGCAGCCCTTAAGAAATCTAGTTTGTATTGAGAAAACGCAAATCTTAAAAGACTGTAACAATACATGAAACGAAATGATAAGTTTGCAACAGGCTTTAGCTTAGTACCTTACATTCATGGCGTAGTAAAATGCTCAGCGTTAAGAAGTCAAAAAATTTAAGCTTATGTACTTAAAACGATCCAATTACATTCACAGAAAATTCTAGATAATACATATGCACCGATGGTCACGGTCCACCTAATGAACCTACTTTGAAGGATTAATTGAATCTTGATCATATTAGAAACCATTCAAGAATTTAAGGTATGCTCTTAGCCTCTTGGTTGACATATATATATATATATATACATATTTAATTATTTTACAATCAATCACATAAAAATAATATAATACAGAAAGAGAATTAAGATACTAACCTCTGGCACATGGGCACCATTTTTCACTTTATCGAGATTTCGATTGCGAAACGGAGCGGCTGCGTCCCTAGGGTGCATTTGAGTAATGATAGAGGACCCGAGAGAGGGGTTACGCTGCTGATTTACTTGTTGTTGGGTCTGTTGCTGATTATGTACAACAGCAGCTGCAGCAGCCGCCACCTGCTGCTGGGCGACGACAGCTGCGACAGCAGCAGGTGAGAGTTGACCAAGTCCGACTGGCGAATGAGCAAGGGGAGTACGGAGTGCAGATGCCGCTGCCTGCTGTAACGCTAGTGGAGGCTGGGACGACTGCTGTTGTATTTGTTGTTGCTGTCGTTGTTGAACTTGTTGTGTAGATTGCTTTAAGGTGGATTTTCCGGAGCTATGCGGTAGTTGCTGATCTTGAGACTGGACAAAGGGTTGCTGCGACGTCCCCACGGAACCAGAAGTACCTGAGTCAGATGTATTAGTAGGGTTATTGCTTGCAACAGTAACATTAGAAGCGGCCTTCATTCCTAGTCTGCTCGCCAAAGCCTCGGGAGAAATTTCGATAAGAGGAGCGCTAGAAATAGTTGAACCAGTCGATGGCAAGCTTCCGGATTGTTGTGCTTTCATTTGTGCCATGGCTAGGATAGCGGCATTCATCAAAGTTGGCGGCATTTGAGCAGTTGCAAGACTAGAGTTTCCTGAATGAGAAGTAGAGACGCTTGTCTGATGGCCGAAAAGAGACGTGTCAGGCACAGAAAGAGACGAGCAAGCAGTTGCCAGTTCAGGGGAAGTTGAAGCCAAAGGCAAGGAGACAACAGGTCGAACAGAGAGTGAGGCATCAGACTCCTCACATAGAGACAGAGACGAATCCATAACAGGCGGGTCGGTGGCCTCAAGTGGCTGAGTAGCCTGAGAGAAAGGTAGTTCGGGTTCAGAAGAGGTGTTACTAAGAGCAGGAGCACCGGACCTACTATTAGATCTGCGTTTCTGGATAGAAGTAAATGACGGTTCCAAACTGAGGAAGGGATGGTCCAATGCAGCTTCTGAGATATCATTTGAATGTTCAGTGCTC